CCTCTCCTCTCCTCTCCTCTCCTCTCCTCTCACCGTCGCTCACCTCGACACCACCAGCCCGTTTTTCGAACCGGGAACATGTCTGTCTGACCGCTGTTACTCCGGTTCGATGGGGTGACACATCTCCCACCCCCACCCCCACCCCCACCCCCTCCACTCATCGCAGTCAGCACACCGGCAGCGCAGCCTCTGAGCCTCTGAGCGCGCGCTTTGTGTGTGTGTGTCCAGCCCTGTTCCGAAGGGTTCCTTCTCTCGCGTTTCCAGCAGGGGGGCAAGGCCTCCAGCGACAAACCTTGTCCAACGAAGCTAAGTCGCTGGAGGGGAAGCGAATGGAGACGTCCATTCGCGCACCTGCAACTGAAACGTTTGCTCAAGCTGTTCCACTCTCGGTTTGTTTCATGGTGGTTTCTGCACGCTATCTCCCAAAACCCTTTCCAGCAGCATTCTGCAGCCGCCGATCGCGTTTGCATTTGAGCGCAGACATGAAAGAACACCTTTTGTTCAAACACCTACACATTTGCGGACTCTCCACCTTGCCGTTCCATCACCATTTTTTCCTGGAAATTGAGTTAACTGAAAACCAATGTCGAAGTGTGAGCCGCTCAGCCGTCCCACGTGGGCGCTGGGTGTGATCCTCCGCAAGGAGGCGCCGTTTGCATGCCGGAAATCGTGTTACTGAATCATCGTTCCTTCATTGACTTTTCCTCACCGCTCCTTCTCCACCCTGAATTCACTGATTATACAGCCGTCGGGCTTAAAAACGAATTTGATAGCCGCCGGGCTTCCCCCCACTTGAGGCAGGTCTCCCGAGCCCCCCCCCACTGTGTTCTACTCCCTACCTAATTAGGGTAACATAGGGAAATGGTACTCGACACACTTGTGTGTCGGTGCCTTTCCCTCTGTTGTCCCTTTTCTAGTCTACTCTACCCGGGCGGTGTAAGACAAAAGTCCCGCTCCCTAACTAGTGCACCTAATTCACTTCGTCTAAGTATTCAGTAATTCTAGAGTGCTAGGTATTCAAACACACACACGTACACCCCCTCCCTGCCCCCCCCTTTTCCTTCTTGCGCTTTTCGTCGTTTGTTGGGCTTTCTCTCAGGCTTTTTAGGTGGCTCTTGAGGCTCGTTTCCCTACCCCAGTCAAGGGCTAAGTATTCATTTTTTCATTTTTCTACACCTATCTTTCTCTCTTGCCCTCTTAGCGCTGCTCTTTCTGTCTTTCTTTCTTTCGTTTCTAAGGCTTTTTAGGTATCTATTCAGGCTTCTCACGCGAGCGCCGCCAAGCAGCACCGTGTGTGTGCCCAGCCCTGTTCCGAAGGGTTCCTTCTCTCGCGTTTCCAGCAGGGGGGCATGCCTCCAGCGACAAACCTTGTCCAACGAAGCTAAGTCGCTGGAGGGGAAGCGAATGGAGACGTCCATTCGTGCACCTGCAACTGAAACGTTTGCTCAAGCTGTTCCACTCTCGGTTTGTTTCATGGTGGTTTCTGCATGCTATCTCCCAAAACCCTTTCCAGCAGCATTCTGCAGCCGCCGATCGCGTTTGCATTTGAGCGCAGACATGAAAGAACACCTTTTGTTCAAACACCTACACATTTGCGGACTCTCCACCTTGCCGTTCCATCACCATTTTTCCTGGAAATTGAGTTAACTGAAAACCAATGTCGAAGTGTGTCCTACTCTGTTTCTAAGGGTTTCCACTCCACAAATCAACTTGCAAGCAGGGGCCGGTGTGACGTGTGGCACTCTCGCCCTACCACATGCAGCGAAGCTGTGGGCGAGAGTGGGAAGCAGGCCTGATCAGCCCTGCGCACCTGCCGTTCTACCAAGCTGTGACTCCATTCTTCCTTTGGTTTGTTGTCACGGTGGTTTTCACGCTACTCTCCCATAAACCTACTGTATTTCCCTCAGCCGCTTTGATTGCACAGCTGCAGTCATGAGTTCGAGCGAAACCATTTTGTTAAAACACCTTCAGTTCTGTGGACACTTCACCTTTCCGTTGAGCCATTCCTTTCCTCCGGGATTATGGTTAACTGCACACCCATTGTCTAAGTGTGTGTGGGGTGCGTGTGGCACAACACCACGTAGCTTACCGGGCTTACCGAGTGCAAACAATGGGAGACTCCATGCACAGCGCCACAGAACGCATGCGTGTCGCATTGGAGCCGTTGCCGCTACATTGTCCATTTCCCGACGACGACGACGACGACGCCGGCGGCGGCAGCGGCGACGACCACCACCACCACCATCACCACCACAACGACAATCACAACAGCATTTTCAACCACAACAACAACGACAAGTCAATGACAACGAAGCAGCACCAGCATCAGCATGGGTTGGCCTCAGCCTTAGCCTTAGCTAAAGCACCAGAGGCACCAGCGGCAGCATCGCTACCACTTGACAAAATGTTGAGAAGAAATGGTAAGAACAAAATCGTGCAAGTCGCTGCCAAAAGAGCAGCAATGCCACGGCTTCAAACATTGCGCGCAGCATCGGAGAGTGTTTAAGTGCCAATCCATATTGAACAGCGGCCGCCTTGACAGCCTCCTGAAGCTTCCTTGTGACCTGGAGGATCACTTCTAGCAGGAATGATTGTAAAAATCAGTTCACAAAAGAACCCCGGAGAATGACGTCCCAAAGCGCATTTCACCTCATCATCTTCCTGAGCACCTCTGCGCGAAGAAACCGAAGAAACCCACAAACTGACAAAAAAAAGCCAAGGTTGCGACCGAGATCAAGCAGGCCAGGTCCTGGCATATAGGCCTGCTCCTGGGAAAAAAAAGAAACAGTTGAATTTGGAAATGCAAAGTCAAACTGCAAATATGCACCTTCCAGCTGGGCGGCGGCCGCATTGACCTGGTGGTGTGCAAGCATGGGGGTTCCAGGCTCCACTTTCGCAAATGGCACTTGGTGGTGGACTGCTTGGCCAGCTCGTTGCCTGCAACAGTCTACATGAGAACGGAGCAAGCCAAATGCATCACTGTGGTTCACGTGAAAAGCATGGAAGAAGGCGACAATCCTCAGCACTACACACAAGCTTTTTCTTGGCCAAGCAGCAAGTCTTCCCAGATCGGTCTTCCTTCTGCATGCACTGCATGCACTAAATCTGCACCACACTGCACTGGTGGCTGCCGGAAGGCAATGCATACGGTTGCCGGCGGGCAATGCATGCGCTTGCCGGCAATTCAGCTGTCAATGAGGCTGAGCGCCTCGTACAGAAACTTTTTGGCACCGGCCTTGTCTCCAAAGTCCAATGCAGATGCCGCCAGCTCTGCTTTCTTCCTTGCTTCGATTATTGGTTTTCCTGACCCTTTCTTGACCTCGTCAAAGGCTTTGAGCTTTGCAACGGCAACTCTGTGCAGTCGCCTCTTGCAAATTCCAGATGTCAGAATCCCAAGTAGGTAAAACATAGGAAGCAGCCACCAAGGCACAGCTGACCAGGGTCCAGCCAAACAATCAGCAAATGCATGAGTGAGCTGCTGCAAACATGAGTTTGTCTCAGATCTCAAGCCCAGCACTGATAGGAGCTGCGATGTTACCGAGCCCGAACCCATTGAATCAGGCAGGTGCGGCAGCGCAAACAATGAGAAAGACCACAATGAGCACCTAGTATCCTAAATCCTCTTTTCTAAAACCTCTTGTTTAAACCCTCTCTTCCAATCTTAGTGTCCCTTTGTTTGACGCGAGGTAGTCTATCTCTCTCCATGTCTCACTTGACACTGCCATTGACATTTCATTGAAATTATCTGCTTGACCTTGATCTAGCAATGCGGCGGGGAAACAGCTGATTCATGGCGGTCAAACCACAGTCGGCAAACAGAGTCCAGTGAGCTCAAAACATCTTGAGCCCACCATGACAGCCTTGAAGGGCAAGTCCATTTGGAGAGCCGGCGTGTGCAACTTGCCTCAAGAAAGCTCCGCCAATCCAAACAGCCGATGCAAGTTGTCAGCGTGATGCTACTGCCTTTTGGCACCCTAGGCGCCAGGCTGGGAGCCGTGAACAGGGTAGTATGGATTTCCCGTATGTCTCCTTGGCATGTCCACGCTGGTGTTTTATATGTTCTATGTTGGATACTTTTTTAGTTTCATGGCAAAAGCTCAGCAACTGTCCAGTTGTCTCTCGGCCCCACTCGAGCCGGCAACATGGCGAAACGGCGAACGCTGAGTTGTTGGTGCTGCCGAAGGATTTCATCACGGTCTGCATCTTCGAGAACCCTCACTCGGGCAGTTGACCCATCGCGTTTCAAGTTGCTTTGTCTTGACATGAGGTTGTCAGGTTGGCAGGTAGGGTAGCCCCTGTTCAGGCATTGTGCATCATCCAAATCAGCCAAATAGGCTGCAAATGAATGTTGCATTAAGTTTGAAGAACCAAAAATAATGAGCAAATGATGTACAGTAACAATTCTGCCCCTCTGTCTCTGCTAATATGTGCATCTTGGCTGGCAACTCCAGGCTCTCGCTGTCTTGGGCAGGCGAGAAGAGCGCCTGGCTTAGGTCACTCTGGCGCCTCTAGTAGCATTGGCAAACACTACAAGAACTCTCTGGCAGTAGTGGGCTTTTGGATCCACCCATCTTGCATTCTTGAATTTCAGGAATGTGACCGCACTGGCCTGGCCGCCTGTTTGTACAAAGCGGTTGTTCCACTGGTATGTGTGCATTCGGTCCTGAAGCATGCAGGCCGCGACCGTCGCAACATTCACGACACATCCGCCATTTCTACTTTGAGGCGGTTTAAACTGACCCACAGACAAGCGCGGCGTCCCTCCGGAGTGTAGGACATGTGTGGATTCTAAGAATACGAGGATCGAGATTTGGCCACGATGAGCACTTGAAACTTGAAACATGTGGCCACAGGCCAAAAATGCCACCAGCTGCAAATGAAGAAGGGTTCAAGCAAAGCGGTCAAACAGTCGCAGACTCAGCTATGATCATTCGCTTGCACAGATTCATCTGAAATGACTCGGACCAAAAACAGTGTAGAGGGTGTCACACCACGTTATTCTACCTTCAACCTGCTTGTTTCTCAGGACCGGGCAACCGGCCACACACCACGCTTCAACCAGCCATCGCAAGTGACCTGGACGAGCAAACAGGCTTCCAAACAGCAGACTGGCTAGAGCAATCAGCGGATTCCCTGAAGCTGCGGCAGCGGGATTGAGTGTTCGAAGAGACTGGGCCTGCACAGAGCTCTGGCACTCCAGGTTTCAGTTGCTGAAGATCTGAGCACCAGGCCGTGGCATTCGCTTCAGCAAAGCGGGAACCATGAACTGTCTCTGACAGCTTCCCTGGAATGTTCCTGACACCCGGTGTCCAGAATTTGGTCACATCTCTTTTCTGAACTTGACATGCAAATATGGTCAGCAAGACCCTCCGTAGCCAGGAATCCTGGAAGGAACCTCCACCCATGCAAGCACAATCCCACTTCCATTTTTGCATATCATATCCAGATATAGTTGGATTTTAAAACATACATACACACACATATATATATATATATACCGTATATACACGGGGGGGGGGAGAGAGATATATATATATATATATGTATACATACAGTATTTCTGTGTGTGCATTCTTATCTTCAACGTCATGAGCTGATCAAGCCTCTAGCCCTTTGCCTGTGCCCAACGCCTTGGACTTGGCAGGTCAACTCATGTTCAAGACAGCAGGAATGGAACACAACGGCCAAGCCAAGGGCAGAGTCGCAATGCTGTTTCCTGAACGGCTCTGACCAAGTCCGCCGCATAGACCTCCACTTCATGGACAGCTGAGTTCACAGCATTTCGTTTCGGGATTCCAGCACTTCGTATCGTGGCCTGAAGGGAAGTGCCTGTGTGGCAAGCTGGTTCTCTGAGGAGAAGGTGCCCCCATGAACGTTTTCTGCAACCTGCACTGCAGGCTGGATGGCTGCAGGGCTGCAATGACGGAGGGACGCCAAAGAAATCTTGTGAAAACCACATCTGGCCTTCCCCGAGATGTGCCCCCGGTACCCAGGAATAGCCAGAGCTTGCATTGGGAGTGGCCTTGCCAGAGTGCACATTCGGTTTTGCACATGTTTACAAGCGCACGGCCTGTTGCTGTAGGTGGAAGACAGGCTCGCAGAATGCTGGACAACCTCCAGAAATCATGCTTTGCTCTTGCATTTTTCTATAAGCCATGCGAGTACTGAACCTCGATATCACGGTTGTCACCACTACGGATGAAAGCAGGCCTAGGCTCAAGTTGAAGAAGACATCACAGGATTCAAAGTCTGGTGCCCTTAGGTCATCGCGGGCTTGTCACATCACCAGCTGAGGGGTACCGCCTGGGAGAAAGTGAAGTTAACTTTGAACGGTTCAAAGTTCAGATTCCGGCCTCATGGTATCAGAAATTAAGCCAGAGAACTTCTTCCCCGAATCAAGCCAACAAGCACCTCAGCAAAAGCTGTGGAATGTCTTGCTTTCGTTTGTGTCTCCGCGCGGTTCTCTGCACCTGCATTTCCACTTTGCTGGCCAGCAGGGGCATCGGACATCAAGACACCTCAGCAGCCCAACTGAACTCAAGCAACTGTCCAACATAAAGATTTGTCCCTACAGCAGCTTTGCACATTGCGCCTCGGGGGCCCTAGGGCCCCAGCCCTGTCCCCCACTGCGAAGCAATGCCCGAGCCCCAGCACGGACACCTAGACCTACTACTTGAGTTTCTTGACAAATTCAACTCCAGAGCCTGTTGCCTGTCCATCCGTGACCGATTTGGAGTCTACAAGCACTCAGCATGCGCTTATGCACTTGGAAGGCTCAGTATCAACCAGCAGTGCTTCATCAGTCTCAAGAATCTTCTTTTGGTTCAATCACTCGGCTGGAACCGTCGACTGGGTCTTCATGGTGAAACGTGCACCTTGACAGCTTGAAATATAAAAAGGATTTGGAAAGCGACCAGACCTCAACTGGACCATATCATGAAGGAGAAGGCAATGCATATCAGGCTTGAAATCCTGCATTCTTCTTCCAAGCGTCAAGCGTGTATCTCCTCAAATGGGTGAAATCTTCAGCAGGTGGGACTTTGCCCCTGCTGGTGCGAACCCCGGGGCTTTCAGCCACTTGGGAGTATGTGTCGATAGGGGTGCCAGATTTGATCAAACCACATTATGCCGCCAATGCACAATCACCACCCGTGTACGAAGAATGAGTTCCTTCATCACAACAAAGGACAAGAAAGCTTTACACATAGGGATGCACAAAAAAGGATTTTAAAAGATACTGTGCCTTTTGAATTTGCAGTGAGGACGACTGTGACAAACTGTAGTTTGGAAAGTGAAACTGAACAAGCCAGTTTGCACAAACTCAATGGGCCTACCTGGGCGGAGATTCCTACGCAAGCGCGGGCATCAGACTTGTTTTTGGCGTGATGAGGCTCAGGCCAAGCTACTCTCTGGCCGCAAGCGGCTCGCTCAAAGCATGTGGTGCCGCCTGTATCGAAGCAGCCTTTGCGCTGACTTGGTGGGTGGCTGACGAGAGCTGTTGGTCTCGGAACCTGTTTTCATTGCAATCCATTTCTTGCGAGCACACCTTGTGACGAGTTACTGATAAATTCGCAATTTGTCTGGCAACAACCTACCATTGCATCTGCCGCGTCAGTACACCACCTTACCAGCTGTCACACTGCCAGGTTCTGTCTGCTGCACTGGAGTGCACGCTTGTGGTCTGGCTGTGGCAGGTTCTCAACCGATGTGGGTTTGATGGTGTAGTTACAGGCGAACGACCGAAAAGTACCAACAAGTCGCACCTGGTTTTCCTTGAGCCAAGCGGTAGGTAAGTGAGACATGTATTAGACATGCTAGCGTGAAACGACACCCCCCGCTGAACGAAAATGGGAGGAGTGAAGTTATGTACAGTGCACAAATTAAGGACCTACGATGGTATCCGGTCCCCCGGTACGTGCGAAGCAACGAACCGGAACGTGCCTTGAGATGGAGAGGATGATTGACCTCAAGGACGGATCACATGAAGCACTGTAATGTTTTGATGCTAGAGTTGAACATGTCTCAAACGGATTCATGCATGAAAGCTCAACGCATGCTGTCAAAGGTAACTCTTTTGGCGCAGCGGAACAGGAGGTGCAATGCCAACCTTTTAGAAAGCAGGAACTAAGCCATCAAGGCACACGCTCCCGCGTGGCGACAAAGCACGACAAAAGATGTGCGCTTCTTTTGCAAGGATTAAGAGCCAAGTTCATCGACCTGAACTCAAACGAATTAGCTGCTGGTATCAGGCATCCGGTCCCCCGGTGCATCACAGAAACGGTCATCCAGGCAACCGCTCCCGCGGTGCGATGAGGGATAACACAGTGCACAAAGACAGCCGAGTCACCCGTAGATTTCAGCCTCTTCTCCACCGGCAACAGCTCCCGCTGTGCGTCGTGTTCACCACCTGCGCTGACTCCACCAGTCTTGTCCCCGCCAATCACTACTACGACCGCGATCATCTTGCCACCAATTCCGGTTGGATGAGGACCACCATGAAGATGATGAGGACGACTGCTGCCAATCATGGTACTGATCACTTCCGGCAGCTCCTCGCCAGCGATGCTCTGATGTCTCAGCTTGGGTTCGTGTAGCCCTTGCCAGACTTTCGCCTGGACCTGGCGCTGCCTTGGCCTTGAGGAAGGTGCCGCAAGTGATGCAGGACATCATACCATGAGTGAATGTGTTCCTGCACGTCGGACATTGATCTTCTGGCATTTGAATGCCCTCAACGACCATCCATCGAGTGTTGCCATACCCCTCGACATCGGGGTGGACCTTGCGCCAATCAAACCGTGGGCGGTTGTAGTTGGGCAGCATCTCTTTGGGCGACACCTGATTTCGGTAGGCGTTGAAATTGGGTCTGCGAACGACATACGTGACCTCGTAGGTTTCCAGATCAGGGTTCCTCTTTCCTGATATCATCTGGTCCTTCACGCCTGGGCGCTCGAGCAGTTCGCCGTACACGAACTTAAGGTATCCACCTTGCCACACCAATTCTCATAGTCCCCGAGGACCTCGTCGGTGTACTTTTCCAGTGGGCTTTTCACCATGTCATCGTCATCGGCAACTGGTCCCCCAGTGCGTGCTGCATTGAATGCCTTGGTCTCACCGGTGATGATACCTCGGTAGTGTGCGTATACATGGTTCGCAAAGGCATAACACCTGGATTCCATGTCGTACACATAGATCACGTTCCT